GGGCATGGTGGTGCACACTGTGGTCCCAGCTACTCGGGAGGCTGAGGCAGGAGAATTGCTTGAACTCAGGAGGCAGATGTTGCAGTGAGCAGAGATCGCACCACTGCACATTCCAGCCTGGGTAACAAGAGCAAAACTCTGTCTCAAAAAAAAAGAAATAATAAAATGTAGCAAGGTGGCTGGATATAAGATCAATATCAATATACAAAAGTTAACTGCATTTTAAAATACTAGCAGCAAAGAAATAGAACACATATTTTAAGGACCATTTACATGCAATAACAGTAGTACACATACACACACATACATACACACACAAAGTCTATAGATTACCTCAAAAAAATTTAATAAATGTGCAAGGCCTGTTTACAGAAAATTATAAAACTGACTAAAAGCTATTACAGACAAAAATAAATGAAGCAATAGCTACATTCATGATAGAAAGACTGAATGTGTCGGTTCTTCCCAAATTCCATCCAAGGGTTAAAAGTAGTTCTAACCAAAATCCTATTAGCATTTTTCATGGAACTTGACAGGTTGATTCTAAAATATTTATGAGAGACCTAAGAGTCAAAAATGGCTAAGATACTTCTGAGGGAAACAAATAGGACAGGGGATGTACCCTGCAATTAACAACATTTATTATAAAGCTATATAATTAAACTATAAAGCTCTATATTGGCTTAGGAACAGACAAGTTGAATAACAGAATACAGCACAGAGCAGAGAGGCCAGAATCAAATATACACATACACATACACAAACACACATTTTTATTACATGTATATATAAAATAAGGCTCGTCCCACCCTGTTTCTCTGTTATCACATACACTGTTTATTTCCTTCACAGCATCTTTCACAATCTTGTCTTATATTTTTATTATCTGTGTCCTCCACTGCAATTGGGATGGAAAACTTCACAAGGGCAGATTGTGTCTCTCTTGCATATTACTGTATTACCAGTTCTGGCCTAGCAAAATGCCAGCACTAAGTGGTGTTCAATAAATGCAGAATGAATGAGTTAATTAAAAACTCAAGAGACATATATTTCTGGTGAATTTTATGAGGATGATGAGTCCTTATTTTATGTATTCTAAATTTTTTTCCTTGTATGAAGTGACAAGAGGACTCTACACTTGATACAGAGTTTTGGTGTCTGATTGAATTGCCTTTTTGCACTGTGCTTTGATGCTATGTTACTAGCTTCCTTTTAGCAGTGATCACAATTACAGACATAGAAGGACCACCTTGTATTTAAAGAAGGGATATGATCAAGGTCATTTTTAACTACATTATACACCTCTCATAAGCAAGACACATAGGAAAGTTTTCTCTTAGGATAAAAGTGTTTTAAACACTGGATTTGTTTTTATCTTATGATCACTGAATCTGATAACTGAGCATGTTTTCTTTTCTTCTTTGGCCTAGGAAACTCGGAATTCCAGCTGTTATATAGGATTATATGAGATTCATTTCTATGTATTGACTTTTCCCTGAATTTTTGCCTTGGGCACCCAAACTCTTTGCCTTGGGTATCTCAATTATTTATTTTATAAGAAGAGTTTATTATTTTTTTGAGCAAATCTCGCTAATATCCAATTTAATTGCCTATAAGTTCTACCTTCTATAAAACACCACTAGAACATGAACACAATTCAGCCAAGCTCTTTACCATTTTATAACAAAAATCACTTTTCCTCTAGTTTCCAATAACATGTTTCTCATTTCTGTCTAAGACTTCATCTGAATGGTCTTTACCATCCATATCTCTACCTGTATTCTGTTCATGGTTAATTATATGTTCTTGAAGAAGATGGAAGCTTTCTCTGCAAATTTCCTCTTTTCCTTCTGAGCCCTCACCAGACTCACCATTAAAACATGCTTCATGGGAGTATCAGCTTCTCATAGCATGCACTTCAGAACTCTTCCAGCCTCTATTCATTACCAATACCAAAGCTGTCTCCACACCTTTCGAGGTTTATTAACAGCAACATCCAACTTTTGGGGATGCAATAACAAATTACTATAGACTGGGTAGCTTAAAAAACAAACATGTAAGCCGAGTGCAGTGGCTTATACCTGTAATCCCAGCACTTTGGGAGGCTGAGGAGGGCAGATCATGAGGTCAGGAGTTTGAGACCAGCCTGGCCAACATAGTGAAACCCTGTCTCTACTAAAAGCACAAAAATTAGCTGGGCATGGTGGCACATGCCTGTAGTCCCAGCTACACAGGAGGCTGAGGCAGGAGAATCATTTAAACCCAGGAGGCAGATGTTGCAATGAGCCAAGATTGTGCCACTGCACTCCAGTCTGGGCAACAGAGTAGTATGTCTCAAAGAACAAACAAACATTTTGGCCAGGTGCAGTGGCTCATGCCTGTAATCCCAGTACTTTGTGAGGCCGAGGCAGGCGGACCCTGAGGTCAGCAGATCGAAACCATCTGGCCAACATAATAAAACCCCATCTCTACTAAAAATACAAAAATTAGCTGGGTGTGGTGGTACATGCCTGTAGTCACAGCTACTCTGGAGGCTGAGGCAGAGGAATTACTTGAACCCGGGAGGCAGAGGTTGCAGTGAGCCAAGATCGCGCCAGTGCACTCCAGCCTGGCAACAGAGTGAGACTACGTGTCAAAAAAATAAAATAATTAAACGGCTGGGCGCGGTGGCTCAAGCCTGTAATCCCAGCACTTTGGGAGGCCAAGGCGGGTGGATCACGAGGTCAAGAGATCGAGACCGTCCTGGTCAACATGGTGAAACCCCGTCTCTACTAAAAATACAAAAAATTAGCTGGGCATGGTGGCTCGTGCCTGTAATCCCAGCTACTCAGGAAGCTGAGGTGGGAGAATTGCCTGAACCCAGGAGGCGGAGGTTGCAGTGAGCCGAGATCGTGCCATTGCACTCCAGCCTGGGTAACATGAGTGAAACTCCGTCTCAAAATAAATAAATAAATAAATAAATAAAATAAAATAATTAAAAAAAAAAAACATTTTGATCAGGCATAGTGTCTCACACCTTTAATCCCAGCACTTTGGGAGGCCAGGATGAACACTTGAGGTCAGGAGTTTGAGACCAACCTGGGCAACAGAACGAGACTGGTCTCTACAAAAAAAAAAAAAAAAAGAAAAAGAAAAAACATTATTTTTTAAAAAGTAGCTGAGCATGGTGTTGCATGTGTCATCATAGCCTCTTGGGAGGCTGAGGTGAGAGGATCAGTCAAGCCCAGGATTTGGAGGCTGCAGTGAGCCATGATTTTGCCACTGTACTCCAGCCTGTGCAACAGAGCAAGATCCCAACTCAAAAACAAAACAAGACAAAACAAACATTCATTTCTGGAGGCTGGGAAGTCCAAGATCAAGGTGCCAGCAGATCTGGTATCTGGTAAGAAGTCTCTTCCTGGTTTGTAGGTGGTCACCTTTTTTTTTTTTTTTTTTTTTTTTGAGTAGTTGGAACTACAGGTGCACACCACCACACCCAGATAAATTTTGTATTTTCTGTAGAGACATGGTTTCAACATGTTACCCAGGCTGGACTCGAACTTCTGAGCTCAAGCAATCTGCCCACCTCAGCCTCCCAAACTACTGGGATTACAGGCATGAGCCACCTTGCCTGCCCAGTCACCTTCTTGTATTCTCACATAGAGCCTCACATAAAGAGAGTTCGCTCTCGTGTCTCTTCTTTAAAGGGTACTAATCCCATTCATGAGAGTCTACCCTTAGGACCTAATCATCTCCAAAAGATCCAGCCTCCTAATACCATCACATTTGGTGTTAGGATTTCAACAGGTGAATTTAGGGGGACACATTCAGTCCATAACGTGTGCTAGGCAGTTTACATAAATCATCCATTTAATCTTCACAGTAAGCCATGAGATTGGTAGAGTCTCTAAAGATGAGGAGACTGAGATTAATATATATGAGCCACTTGTTCCAGGTCACATAGTTGGCAGGAGGAGAGTTGGGAGGCACACTCTGCTATGGCTCCCAGGTCCCTGCTGCACCTGCTGTCTGGGTGGTCTGCAGCCTCCCTGTGCCAGAATGATCTGGGATGCTTGTTAGGGTGCAAGTTCCCAAAGTATGCAGTACTTTTTACCTCCATGAAGAGGAACTTGAAGGGGATGTGTTTGCTACGCATGATTGGCTGCTATGCAAAGGGGAGATGACCTTTGTTCTGTATAGTTGCAGAGGGCAGAACCACACCAGCAGGTGGACTATGCAGAGAAAAGGTTGGAGGTGGGATTTCTGCACACTTCCTTTGAATTCACACAAGAAGCACATATTCACCTATAGGCCCAGGGAACGCCACCTTCAAGTTGTTCTCAGAGGGAAAGAGCAAGAGAGTCAGTCAATGCATGGATAGATGGTCAAGGACACCTTCCCAAGAGAAGAAGCCCCAGGCCTGGGCCTCAACAAAAGCATAGAGGTGCCCAGGTGGAGGTGGGCAGGCCTAAGGTGACATGAGACTTGGGCCTTGCAGGACTGGGAACCAGCTAGAGTAATTGGGTGCCTCAGCAGGGTCTTGTCCCCCAGATGCTGAGCGCAGCTGGAGGCATCTGACTCTTCTGGGTGTCCCGGAGCTGCAGCCCCTCCCTGTGGCCTGACCAGGCCTGTCTGCTTGTTGCAGTGCAGGCAACCTGGATGGCCTATGACATGGTTGTGATGCGCACCAACCCTACGCTAGCCGATTCCATGCGCCGGCTGGAGGATGCATTCCTCAACTGCAAGGAGGAGATGGAGAAGAATTGGCAAGAGCTGCTCCATGAGACCAAGCAAAGGCCATAGGCCCCACTGGCCCACCACAGTTGCCATGCCACCATCTGCCTGTGTGACAAGGTCACTGGGGGGTGGAGCTGGTGACCACATGAACAGCTGTATGCACTGTACTTGTTTCTTAATAAACTTATTTTTAAGCACAACCCGAGGACTTATCTTCTGTGCCGTGATCCACCCAGCTGCATGTTAAACCTCGTGAACAAAACATGATAAGTGCAAGCTGCAGATGCTTTCAGTGAATTAAAATGTGTTTGGTGCCAGTGGTGCGGAGCATGTAATAAAAAACAAAACAAAAAAAAAGAGGGCCCAGTCAGGGACACCCAGGCTGGAGGTTGGAGTGGGCCACAGTCAGATTTATTCACCTCTCTAACATGGGTTTCAAAGTCTGTAAGGGGAGAAAACGCATCATGGATTGTGCTGTGTGTCCTGGACACCATGCGAGGTGTTCACAGCTGCAATCTCATCTCCCACAACTCTCCTGGATGACAGATGTCCACTGTCCACACTTTACAGATGAGGAGAAAGGGAAGTTGAATGTCTTATCCAAGTCCACACAGCTGAAAGGGGTAGAACTAGGGTGACACTCAGGCTTCATTTAGAGCTGGGGGGTTGGTGAGAAGTGGGGTGAACTTCTGGAGGGGCTGGGAAAGCCCCAAGGCTACAGAGGGTGGTGAGCCTGGAGTGGGCCTGGCCTGTTGTGGGCTGGGAGTATGGATAGGGGCTGCAGACAGCAGGGCAGCACCAGTGGACCCAGTTTCAGAGGCAAAGGTTCTAGGTCCTTGAGAATCCACAGTGCCAAACAGACCCAGGTGGCTACGTACGGGGTCTGGACTGGAAGAAAATCCCAGAGGCCAGGGACTTGCCTGGGGACTTTCTTGCTCCCTGTCATGCTGACAGAGCATAGGTTTCTACCCCTCTCCTCTCGGCTCAGCAGAGCTCCAGCGAGCCAAGTCATTGTCTGTGGGGTCGTATCAGTCCCTGGCTCTAGGGAATGGGAAGTCCCAAAGACAGAGGCGGTGTGAGCAAACTGAGTGGGTCTGTAAGCAGGTACAGAATTGAGTCAGGAAAGCATGGATGTGGAGGAATGGGCAGAAAGAAGTCTGGGCTTCAAAATAATTGACAACCTTTAAAGCAGAAGGGGAAAGTCGTCCAGAAACAAGAGCAGGAAGTTCTGATCCCAGCCCCCTCCCTGAGCCCTGGCCTCTCAGACCCACCCCACAGTGTCTCCCTGGAGAGCAGTGAAGCAGCCCTGGTTCTCTGCCTGCCACTCAGAGTGAGGTCTGCAGCCTGTCCTCAGGGGGCAGGGTCAGGATGAATGGACTGAGGACCCCTGTGCTCCCCAAGGGAAAGGGCTGCAGCTCCTTGGCCTGGAACTGGGCAGTTCCCCCAGAGACCGTGAAGGTGGCCGTGACCTGGGGGTTGAGGCAGTAAATGGTGTTGCCCAGGGTGGTGCAGCGCAGGGGGGTGGGGGTGGGCAGGGGCAAGGAGGCAGCCCTGCTCCAGGAGCCGGTCACTGTGTTGTAGCGCATCACGGCAGCGCCAACGCCCCGCAGCAGGTCGAAGCGGTACAGGAAGCCCCCCAGCGCAACGATGTCGCTGGAACGCCGGTGGCTGGCACTGTATGGGCACTCGTCCCAGGCATCCTTCGTGGGGCTGTACCTGAGCAGGCGGTAGAAGAGGTGACCCCCGGTGACGTAGATGTCCCCACGGCAGGCCACAGCCTCGTGGGCCACAGGGAAGGTGCCTGCGGGGAGGGGCGCGCGCGGTGTCCAGGCGTCTGTGCGCGGGTCGTAGCACTCCATGCTGTACAGGCATTCGCCCCCGATGGCGTAGAGCAGCCCGTCCAGGGCCACCAGCTTGAGCTGGGCTCGAGCCTGCTGCATGGGCCGAACCTGGCTCCAGATGTTGGTCAGAGGGTTGTAGCAGAAGACCTCGTTGGAGCAGATGGCCTTGGCACCGGAGCCACGGATGCCCCCCGCCAGAAACAGGTAGTTGTGCATGGTGCAGAGACCGCAGCCCCGGAGCGGGGCCTCCTCGGGCACCTGGGTCAGGGGCCGCCAGGTGTTCTCCTGAGGGTTGAACACGTGCAGGTGCGTACGTGGAGGCAGTGGCACAGGGGCTGACACAGGAGGCTCCTCGCCACGAGGGCCCCTTGGGAGCCCTGAGCGGCCCCCCTGGTAGAGGCTGGGCAGCACGACGACGCCCAGCACCGCCTGGCCCCGGCGGGTCCGCAGACTGAGGATGCGTTCACGGTCGGCCGCGCTCAGCCGGCGGTAGAGGCGCGGGTCTCCCAGCACTCGCAGCAGGTTGTTGCTCATTAGCGCGTAGGTTTCCTGCGCCAGGCCAGGCTCCCCGTGCTGCTGGGCGAAGGCCAGCACGTCCAGGCAACTGCCCAGGTCCAGCCGCCGCCTCAGGACCGCTGCCGTGGTGGGCGCCAGTGCCCGTAACCTGGGCTTCCGGGGCCCTTCCACCATCCCCCAACTCCCGGGCCTCTGCAGAAACTCCATGAGTTTCCGAGCCTCCTTCTGCTTCTCTGTGAGCGCCCCGCTGCGGCCGGCAGGGCTGCCCACCTCCGCCAGCACCTCCCCCTGAGGGTTCCCTGGGGCAGCTGGCCTGACTTCCTGCTCTGAGGTCCCGGCAATTTCACACCTGCTGCGTTTCCGTGGCTGGGGCACCGGCTGTGAGTGCCTCACCGAGGGGGAGGCCGCAGGGCCAGACGGCCTCTGCACAGGGGGCTGTACGGAGTCCCTGGGCGTTGCTGCTTGGGGCAGCAAGTCTACACTCTTCTCCCTGGTTCCCTCTCCTCTTAGGCCTGGGGAAGGGTCTGGGCTGGGCGCGCCCTTGGTCTCGGAGCTTCTTTGCCGTGGCTGATCTCCAGCCTCAACCAGGGCCCCCGTACCTGTCCCCATCACCGTCCCCACTGAAGAAGAGGAACCATGTCTGTCCTCAGAGTGTGTGCAAGTACTGGGATCCACAGAACTCCCAGGAACCGCCCTTGGGACACTCCCTTGGGGCCTGTCTTGCCTGGGGAAGGGGTGGCTTCTAAGCACCATGGCAATAAGGTTTCCCCAGCTGGCTGAGACCTGACCCTGCTGGTAGCGCCTGAGGAGAGCCACACTCTCCTGAGATACAGCCTGTGACCCGCCAGCTGGGGCAGGGGATGTGGCTGGGGTTGGGACTGAGGTGGGGGCTGGGGTTGGCGCTGAAGTTGGAACTGGGGCTGGAGCTGCGGTGCCGGTAGGGACTAGGGCTGCGTCTGGGGCTGGGGCTGGAATTGAGGCTGGGGTTTGAGTTGGGGCTGGGGCTGGGGCTGGGGCTGGAATCGTAGCTGGGGCTGAAGTTGGAGCTGGGGCTGGGGCTGAGGCGGGGGATGAGGTTGAGGTGGGGGCTGGGGGTGGTGCTGATGTTGGGCACGAGGCTAGGGCTGGGGCTAGGACTGAGGTTGGAGCTGAAGTTAAGACTTGGGCTGAGGCTAAACTTGGGGCTGGCGCCGCTCTGAGATTTTCTCCCACAGAAGGACCCCGGGGAACCCCCAGGGGCAAAGAATCTGAAGGAGAGGGGGTCGGGAGAGTCAGGGCTTCAGGCGGGACCCCGGGGCCGGGAGTCGCAGGCGGGGAGGCAGAGCACGGGCGGGGCTCACGGCTCGGGGAGGAGGCGCGGTTGCGGCGGACTGCTGCCGTGGGCCCCAGGTCGGTGGCCCGACTGTCGTCTCGGGAGCCGTGAGCCCCGACCGCGCCCGCAGCGTAGGCCCCTGTGGCCCCCGGCCCTTGAGAGGAAAGTGAGAGTCCTTGAGGCGGACTCTCCAGCCAGGGGCGCGTGGATCCTGGGGCCGGGCGGGAGCTCCGGGTGCCGGGGACCTCCCTCCTGGCCCAGGGCCAGCCTCTTCCGGGGGCGGCGACCCCCGGAGCCTCCCCGCTCCCGCCAGCCTTGGTGCCAGAGCCCTCTGTCTGGGACCCAGGCTGCGGGGCGCGGGGTGCGGGCTCCTGAGCGAGCGGGGATCCTTTGGGGAGGCCGCGCGAGTGGGCGTCCAGGGTAGCGGCCTCGTCCACCGCGTCCCACACGCTCCCCGCGGCGCCCAGGCGGAGCTGGTCCGGTTTCCGGGGGCGGCGGGCTCTGTCTCCCAAGCCAGCGTCCATCCGCCGTCGCCGGCCCGGGCCTCTCCCCAGCGAGCCGGAGGGCCCCGAGCCCACCTGCCAGGGGCTGGTGTCCTGTTGCCCCGCAGGGCCCGCGGCCTGGCGAAAGGGCACCTTGACACCACCTGCCTCCGCCTGCGCCTCCGCTTCGCTTCCAGGTCTCGGAGGGGTGAAGTGGATAAGGAGGGGGGCTGACATCCCCGCTGCTTCGCTCCTGCCCAGGAGGGCAGTGCCTGGCCTGGGAGGCTCTTTTCCTTCATCTCGGGGGGCCATGGGGATGGCGCCGCCCCGCTGCTGTCTCACTACCCCTCTACGGGCCTCCTCGCCATCTGTCTTGAGTGGAAGCGCAGCCATGGCGGCCAGGCCCCTGCCAGGAGCTGCAGCAGAGACAGGGCTCTGCTGGCCACGTCCTGGAGGCTCCTGCTTCCCCTGCCCTGGGCTCTGCCCCTCGCTGCCATCACTGACCTTAGACTTCGCTTGCAGGGCCAGCTCAGCTCTTCCTGCCTGATGAGGTTGAGCCCCGAGGGCTGTGGACACTGGTCCTGCCACCTCTTGGTCGCGCCCGGAGCCAAACCAGTGTAAGGCCAGCGCTGTGGCAGCCACCACAGCCAGCGCCAGGAGGGCCAGCACAGCACTATCCCAGTCATTGTCACCATCCCAGTCCCAGCCCCAGAGGGGACCGTCTGGCTCCAAGGTACCCTGGACCATGGTTTGGGGCTGCAGCCCACTGCAAGGGGCCCAATGGCAGGCTGGCAGTGCGTGCAGCACAGAGGCCTGGGCTGGGGCACCGGCCAGTGCCCCGCCCCACGGGCTGCCCAGTTAAGGTGGACCAGTCCTCCAGGGCCTGGGAAAGATGGGTCTCTGCTTGCACCCAGGCCTAGAGGTGTCTGTAGGGCCTGGCTGTACATACCAGGAGACAGCAAGGCTTACAGCAGGACAGGAGCCCAGGGTCTCCGAAAGCCCCCCACCAGCTCCTGCCCTCTTCTCCTCCTCTTAGTCTCCAGTATCCAATGGCCGCATTTCTGAGCTCTGCGCTGGCATCACAGCCAACCTAATCCTGCCTGGTAGACCCTCACACCCCTAAGTTCATCCCACATCCCAGAGTCTCCTCTCAGCCTGGGTCCAGCTTCAGGGGGCTCTGGCAGGGAAGGTTTACCCACAGGGAGATGTTATCTCTAGCTTTAGCAATGTGATGCAGCCCTGATGAAATTACCAGAAACCAGAGAGGCTGATTCCATTGTGGGCCAGCAAGGGAGGGGTGGGGGCCATGCCTGATGGTGGTCTCTCAGACTGAAGAGGAAGACCCTGGGGCATGGGTCCTGGCAGTGAACATTGTCATTGCAGGGATGAGGTGGAGGTTCGCATCAGGGCACAGGGAGGGGCATAGAGGGGAGGCTGAAGCTCCCACAGCTCTTCCAGCAGCTTCTGGACTTTCTTTACTCTGGGTTCACCAGACCTGGTATAGGGTTTTCAAGTCAAGAGCAAAAAATAAAAATAAATGAGATAAAATCCAAACATATTTCTCCCTTTATGGCCAGGCTTATTTCAACCCATCTAGACCTTCTAGGACCTCCTGGACCCCCTGCACCCATCGAGACTGTTGTGACTGCGCAGATGAGACTCTCACTGTGCCCATGGAGAGCCCCGAGCTCAGCCTGCCCCCTACTCCAGTTACCGCATCAGCCAGCACCTGGTATCCCCACTCTGAACCAGTAGCTTATTAGCCAGACTCTGGGCGTCTTCATCTCAATCCTCAGCCTTCCCTCATTTGAATTGAGGACTTGCCCTCGAGACCACATCCTGGCTGGTACCTCCTTGCCCTGGCTCAGGCCGGCAGGTAGGTGTTCTAGGTGTTTCTGCTGGGTGTGAGCACTTGGTCCCTTAGGGAGGAGGCTTGGATCCTCCATCTGCTTCTCACTTAATCTCATCTCAGGAGTGAGTCTTGGGACAGGTGCCAGGTGGGGCCCAGACAGAGCCTGGAGTCCCTGAGACAAAGATACCGCTCCCTGGAAAGTGCTGTGTGTGTTTCCTCCCTCTGGGACACAGTAGGCCTGGGGATTTCTCCCGTACTCAAGCAGCAAAGAGATGGCCTAGGAGTGAGTGTTCCTGGCACCCAGCCTGAACTCTACCGAGCCTCAGGTAACTCACCTCCCAGCTCCCCCGCCCCCTGCCCAGAACTATTAGATGACAGTGAGAGGGTGAAGATGGGCCCTATACCTTAAGGTGGACCTGATGTTGGGGGAAGGATTTCTAGACCCTGCCCTGATTCTCTGTCCCAGTCTCAGGCTCTCCCTCTTGGTTATGTTTAGGGTGCACAAACCTTCAGAGGATGGAGATGACACCCTCCATCTGCACCTTCTTATAGGCCACTCAGTGCTCATAAGTCAACTCCACCCAGCTTCTGGAGACCCCAGGCTGCTGTCAGAGGACAAGGGCAGTGTCCAGCATGTGATGCCTTAGGACCCCATGGTAGGAGAAACCAAACAGAGGAAGTCATCCCACCAGTCTTATCAGGCGCAAGGGTGGCGAGCAAGGACGTGCTCAGTCCCATCTTCTGTGGAAGGGAAATTTCTCACTTTGTCAAAATCCAGATCAAGGGCAGAACTTTGTCCTTCATGGGGAAATTTCCTGCCAGGAAGGTGACTGAGGACATGTCACCTCCCTGAAATGCAGGAGTTTTGCCCCTAACTTCCTAGAGAATTAAAATGTGGCACTCCCAGGCACAGTGGCCTGAGTAACATAGCAAGATCCATCTCTTTAAAAAGATCCACAAAAAAAAAAAAAAGAAAGAAAGAAAAAACCCAAAACCCAAACACCCCCAGTATAGCTCTGCAAAGGTGGCAGGACTTGAAAAGCAGGAGATCCCAGCAGGTCACTGTTCTGCTTGTGCTATGATCGTATAAATATCACAATTTACTACCAAGCAAAAAATTAAAATCAAGAAAATGGGTCCTGGAAGGTGGGTCCAGCCTTCAGCAGCCTCCTTGGAGCACCCTTCTGATTGCCTGCGGAGGCGGCCCAGCCACTGGAGGAAAGAAACCCTGTCCCAGTCTCTCCAAGGAGAGAAGGACTTCTGCCTAAGACCTAAAGCTGCTGTTTCCTCAGAGACAACACAAGCCGTCAGGGATTGGCTCCATCTGCAGCAGGCACCCGGGTTAACAGCGATTTGACGGTGAAAAATGTGACCCGGCAGCACCTGGGCTGGGAGCGCAAAGGTGGAGACTGGGAAGGTGTGCGGAGCGAGTAAGCCCTCGCCAGCCTCGCCAGCCCCAGGAGCGAATTTGTCTGCATTTCCGACTGTGGCCGCAGGAGGAGGCTGGGATCTGAAACCAGCAAAAAAGTGGGACACAGGGCCAAGGTGTCGGATCACCTCGAGGTGGGAGGCCGAGTCGGGCAGATCACCTGAGCTCAGCAGTTCGAGACCAGCCTGGCCAACATGGAGAAACCCTGTCTTTACCAAAAATACAAAAATTAGCTGGGCTTGATGGCAGGTGACTGTAATCCCAGCTACTCAGGAGGCCGAGGCAGGAGAATTACTCGAACCCAGGAGGTGGAAGCTGCAGTAGGCTAAGATCACGCCATTGCACTCCAGCCTGGGTGACAGAGAAGACTCCGTCTCAAAAAATAAAAAAAGAAAAGAAAAGAAATTACTCTTGCCTATAATCCCAACACTTTGGGTGTGAGGCTGAGGCAGGGTAGATGGCTGGCGTTTGAGACCAGCCTGGGCAAGACCTTGTCTCTACCAAAAAAAACCAACCAAACAAACACACAAAAATGACTCAAGTTAAGTTTCACTTATGTTTTCAATTTAAACAAGGTTGAGGTCACTTACAAGGCCTAAATTGTTTTGTCTGCTTAGGGAGTCTTCAGGCCTGGTCTCCATTTTAACTAAACAGGCCAAGTGCAGTGGCTCACACCTGTAATCACAGCACTTTGGGAGGGCAAGGTGAGTGGATCACCTGAGGTCAGGAGTTTAAGACGAGCCTGGCCAACATGTTAAAACTCCTTCTCCACTAAAAATACAAAAAAAAAAAAAAAAATTAGCTGGGTGTAGTGGTGCTCACCTGTAATCCCAGCTAAACTTGGGAGGCTGAGGCAGGAGAATCACTTGAACCTGAGAGGCAGAGGTTGCAGTGAGCCGAGATTGTGCCACTGCACTCCAGCCTGGGTGACAGAGTGAGACTCTGTTTCAAACAAACAAAAAAATTTACTTAAACAAATCCCCACTGGGCAAGCTGAGAGGATGACCAGATGGTGGAGCTTTACTCTCCATTACCACTGAGTGGCGCAGTCACTGGGGTGAAGAGCCGTGCAGAGTAATCACCATCAGCAGTTGCCCCGGGGTGCACACAGCCATCATCATCCACACCGCAGACTGCAGCAGATCTGATCTGGACGGCCGCCATCATCATCCACACCGCAGACTGCAGCAGATCTGATCTGGACGGCCTTCATGCCTGCTGCCAGGTGGGCCACCTGGAGAGCTCGTCAGCATACTTCCTGATGACATAACCAGGGCCATCCAGACGCAGTCTGCTGTGATTGCTCTGAAATTTAAATTCATCTACTTTCAGTTTGCAAGGCTTTGGAAAAGGGAAGTTTTAGTTTTCAGTGAAACTAGGGAAAGTTGGGATTCAATCCAGTTTACAGAGAGAAAACAAAACCTCAAAAAAATGAACAGGACTAGAATTTGATAATGCATGCACTGTAGTTTTCTACTGAAATACAATCTGTTTTATGGTCACTCCCATTTTTACCAAAAATAATCAGTTAATTTTTTTTTTTTTTTTTTTTTGAGACAGAGTTTCACTCTTGTTGCCCTGGCTGGAGTGCAATGGCATGATCTCAGCTCACTGAAACCTCCGCCTCCTGGGTTCAAGTGATTCTCCTGACTTGGCCTCCCGAGCAGCTGGGATTACAGGCACCTACCACCACACCCAGCTAATGTTTTGCATTTTTAGTAGAGACAGGGTTTCAGCAGGTTGGCCGGGCTGGTCTCAAACTCCTGACCTACTGTTGCCCACCTCAGCCTCCCAAAGTGCTGGGATTATAGGCATGAGCCACCACGCTTGGCCCTGTTTCTTTCTGAGATGCAGTTTCACTCTAGTTGCCCAGGCTGGAGTACAACGGCAAGATCTTGGCTCACTTCAACCTCTGACTCTTGGGTTCAAATGATTCTCCTGCCTCAGCCTCCCAAGTAGCTGAGATTACAGATGCAATTTTGTATTTATTACGCAACTGCCAAGGAAATTTGACTGTTTTGATACAACACTAGATAACAGAATTATGAGTGATACCAGACCATATCAGATTTTTAGGAATTTAATTCTGGGACATTTCTATTAATATGTATCTATATAAATGTAACCTAAGAAAGTTAAACATCACCTGTATTTCAAAATGCTTACCATGCAATTTAACATATCAAATAAGCCTAATTAGTTTAGCCTCTCTCTTTTCATTTATTTTTATTTTTATTTATTTATTTATTTTTTCCTGAGACAGAGTTTTGCTCTTGTTGCCCAGGCTGGTGTGCAATGGCGTGACCTTGGCTCACTGCAACCTCTGCCTCCCAGGTTCAAGCGATTCTCCTGCCTCACCCTCCTGAGTAGCTTGGATTACAGGCATGTGCCACCATGCCAGGCTAATTATGTAGTTTTAGTAGAGACAAGGTTTTGCCATGTTGGTCAGGCTGGTCTCGAACTCCTGACCTCAGGTGATCCACCCGCCTGGGCTCCCAAAGTGCTGGGATTATAGGCATAAAAAGAGAGATTGGTCACATTGTGCCTGGCCAATCTCTCTTTTTAGAAGGGGAGAAAATAAATTCATTTGAGATATTCTAAGGACCCTTCTGGAACCTCCCAAAGTCAATTCAAGGAAAGCTGTCAAAAACGTCAAAAGATTTACAACCCTTGACTAAATAGGATCACAGGCCACTGTGAAACAATACCAAAGTGATAAAAGACTTTAAAGGCAGCTGGGCGCGGTGGCTCACGCCTGTAATCCCAGCACTTTGGGAGGCTGAGGCAGGTGGATCACGAGGTCAAGATATCGAGACCATCCTGGTCAACATGGTGAAACCCCGTCTCTACTAAAAATACAGAAAATCAGCTGGGCATGGTGGCGCATGCCTGTAATCCCAGCTACTCAGGAGGCTGAGGCAGGAGAATTGCCTGAACCCGGGAGGTGGAGGTTGCGGTGAGC